CAGTTAGCTTTGAGGCAACAGAGTCCAAATGTACAGTGCTTACAAATATGGAATCTGGATTTGGAATCTGGTCGTGCCATTTCCTGGTTGTCAGTTAACTTACTTGAGCCTGATTTTCTTCATCTATTAAATGGTAGTGTTTCTTTCTTGGCCCTTGCTCTCTCCTACTTTATGTCTCATCTCCCCTTCTAGATGGGGAGCTCTTTAAGGGCAGGATGGATATCACATCTTCCTGGGGCTGTAGACACATGGGAACTGCTGCCAGGGCTCCTCCTTTAAAGGAAAGAGATTTTACACAACCTGACTGGTGACTCAGGGCAGAAATATAGCTAGTCCAAGGCTCCCATCACGTGGAGGACACACAGAACAAGCTGGATAGGGCCCTGACTCCTGCTTATGGAGAAATAGGAAAGAGCCTAGAGCCTTTCTTCAGGCCATCTTCTGGTTCAAGGAGCTAGGTGGTCCTGCAAGTTCCCGGAAGGCAGAGTGGCATTCCTGCTTGGAACATGAAACAGGGTTTCTTTCCCATGTCTTCCACAAGTCTGTCCTGTGGGTGAGAGTGTTAGACTTAGAGAGCCAGTGGAGGTATGGTTACGGGCCATTCTTACAGTCATCTTCTCTGAGAAGCAGGTTTCTTCAGAAGCTGTCCTTTTGATACTCCCACCCTTGCTGTGTTTGGAGGCTGACAATGGAAGGGGTTCGATCTTTTCCTCTCTCCCTCCATTCCTCCCTCCCTCCCTCTCTTCCCTCTTCCCCTTCCTTCATTCATGCTCCTGGGGATTGTACCCAGGAGCTCACACATGTTAAGCAAGTGTCTACCATTGAGCTACACAACCAGCCTTGTTATTTCTTATTTTGAGACGTAATTTCACTAAATTACTCAGGCTGGCCTCGAACTTGTGATCCTCCGAACCCGGCCTCGCCTGACCACCTGTGATTACACTTGTGCACTCCCACACTCCTACCTTACAACTTTCTCTGAGTCATTTCCCAAGATGCCTCTCCATGAGTCTCACAGTCCAAGTGCATTAGCCAGGAACACAGAGTCCCCCATGTGCTGCGTGGCGCATCCGTTTTCAGCCCTGTGTCCTGCCATATGCCTTCAGTCTCTCTGTCCCTGGCCTCACTGGATTAGATTAGTCACTTTCCCTGAGAACACCCTGAACTCATCCTCCTGAAGGCCTTTGCACATTGTGTTCCTTAGGCCTATTTTCTTTTTCTTCACACGCAGGAATTCTCTTGGGTGTTGTTGGGCTTAGTTTAGAAGTCACATCATCTGCAGAGAACTTCCAGATCCTCAGTATGACATTGCATGGACCTGTGCTTACGTGTTCTTTTCAGCCTGTCTTCTGTGCTCCAGCATGTACCCAGGGAGATGGTGAGATCTTCAAGAGCTCTGGACATATCAGGCCGGCAAGGACTGAAGGGGCTGGTGAACACCTGTTTTGTGCTCTCCTGACTGCATCATGTTAGTTACCAGTTACGTCAGAGGGGTTTCAGAAGTCCATACGAGGGTTATCCATGGTTTGTTTGATCACAAGCCCAGCCATTTGAATTCTACTTTTAAGTTGGCCTGATATCAGCTAACCTTTCAGAGAGGCCTGTTTCCCACCTATCAGTGGGTGTCTGATTCATGCCAGGTCTCTGAGCTTTTTATTTTACTTAAGAATATAACAACAAGGTGGAATTTAGGATGGATGTACCTGCTTGTAATATGAACTTTTTTTTTTTTTTAAGTTTAAAAAGGCAACCATTAATTTTATCCCAATGCTCCTTGACATGTGAAAATAGCAGGAGTGTTCCAGGATGTTTCTGTCTTGAGCAGAATGATTGCTCATGTTATATACACCTTTAACTGTAACTAATAAAACTTATGTCATGGAGCTTGATTTTGAAGATCTGGATTCGAATCCTGACTTTATTGTTCAGTATTGCTGAAACCTTGGCCAGGTACCTATCTCACTGATCTCATTTCCTCCGTGTACAATTGGGAAGCATTTTTTGTGGGGTTGGTAGAAAGCGTGAATAAAATTTTAGACACAAAATTGCGACTTTATATGTTTCAAAAAGCTGGAATTGGACACTGTTTTTTTTTTTTTGGTACTAGGGATCGAACTCGGGTCCTTGTGCTTGCAAGGCAAGCAACAGAACCACTGAGCTAAATCCCTGGCCCGTGGACACTGTTTTTAACGAACATTTCAAAAAAGTTTGCATTCGAAGGAAAATGCTTAGAAGTGTAAGTTTCCGTGGAATATTTTATTTTAATGAATGTTAATATAAATTAATTTCCTTTCAAAGGACATACAGTATCTAACAGACTTAGAGAATGTAAATGGCTCCTGATAAAGTTTAGTTGCAATTACTTAGAGCCACAGAAACATAAGCTTGGAGAAATTATAGAAACCTAGGAGGGGGGAGATGGACATGAATGAATGCACGTCGTATGCAATGTCTGTGCTGCGCATGCTGGGTGCGCGATCCCAGAAAACGATGACCCACACATTGCTGGATAGGCGGTGTTAGTCCCATTTCGCAGACTTGAAAGCTTCAGCTCCGAGAGGTTAAAATCATTTTCGCGGTCCCATATCAAAGCCGTCACCTTCAAATTGTACTCATGATAGCTTCTAGAAATCCCTTCCATTTATAGATGTGACAAGGCCTGCCTTTGCCTTTTTGATTCTTTATCTTCTTCCTCCAAGGGAAGCCACTAATTCAGGACCAGATAAAGCAGTGGGACTCTCCAGTCTCGATGTCTTGTATCTTGTATAATGCATCCAGATGAGTGCCTCGACTTTTCCTGCCAAAAATCTCTTCTTTAAATGTCTAGTTCTGAGCTCCTTTGAACTACACTCCTTCACCAACCTTTACTTCTTTTCTTCCCTTTTGGAGAGATATTTGCCATTGCCTATCTTCCTTTAGAGGTCAGGGGTCTATTTAAAGGTTTCAGTTTTCTTTTCAAAATATGGGTAGAAAATAAAATTTGCCAACCATTTCCCACAGTACTCTGCTGTTTACGGGCAGCCATGTGGAGGGGGCGGCTGGGAGCTGTGGGTCTTTCGAAACTATCGCTGACCAGGGACAGGACTTAACGCCTCACTTTCAGGTCTTCGGTGTCTTTACTGTAAAAAGTGAGGGCACCATAGGTGTTCCCTAAGTTTTTAAAATTATGCGAGTCTTACGGTGTCAAAACCATCAATTTCTGCTGAGCTGCGTAATCCTGCAGCTGTTTCTCTGATACTTTTCAATCTTTAGATTTAATCTATTCAACAATGTATAATTTTTTAAAGGGAAGCTTTTATAGACACTTCTGAAATATAAGGTTGGGGAGGGGGATAAATGGATGTTAAAAAATAGAAAACAACCAATTAAATAGTATATAGCATGTAATTCTCCTTGGAAACTTACCACGAAATTGAGGAGCACTTTAACAACTGGTAATTTAAATTGCATTTGAACTCTGCTAATGGTTTGTTTGCATGAGCACTTCAATCAATTCACAGCAGTTCTTTAGCAAAGCTGCTTGTTCTCTTTATGGAAAAGAAGAAAAAAATTATTAAACGACAAGTCAACTAGGAAAAAGGGAGACCACTTCCACTGGAGTGTGGAGGGGAGCGGGAGAGTGTTTGAATGAGACTTGCCCAGGGCCAAGGGTGGACAGCTTTTGCCTTTCAGTGAAGTTCAGAAGTCTGGGAACCCACTTACCCTTTGATGCTGTTGTAGAAACTCTTCTGATTTATCTTTCTCTTTGCCAAAAGAAGCTATGGTTTGGTTTTATGGAGCTTGGGTTTGAGAGGTTGTCCTTTTGTTTTTATGAGGTTTCACTGTTCATATCTCAGGTGATGACCTTCTAACAATCCATTCCTCAGCAGATTTGGAATTGTGTCTCTCTGTGGAAGTAAGTTTGAGAGCCCTGATGTTCTCGAAGACAACCAGCTTTCAGGGAAGTCATTGCTTGGCAGTGCTCATCTCAGGTCCACTCTACTTTCCTTAGTTTTTTCCTGTTCCTGGAAGGGAGAGCTTTGGACAGATGTTGAGAGGCCTGGGTGTGTAAGGCCTGATTTGGCTCCAAAGCTGATTGTGTGGCTGAGGGCAAGTTTCCCTCCCAGTAAGTGTCCGTCCTCTGTCAAAGTGGGTAATAGCTAGCTCCAGTGGAGCAAGCATTGGTCTTCCTACCACCAGTATTGGGCTCCCTGAATGGTCCCCTCCCTACCCTGGCTCTTAGGTTCTCTTGTTGTCAGTTGGAGGAGTTGATTTGTCTCATTTCTAAGGGCCTTTCCAACTTTTGAGTTTGTACAGGGATTTGAAGATTGAATGAGGGGATACACAGGAAGTACGATTGGTTAGATAATGTTTAAAATCGCAACAATGACAGGTGGGGTGGTAGGTGGATCTGCCGTGCATGCGCAAAGTAGAAGTTTTAGGACAATTCACTGGAACACTTCTCTGGAATATGCATTGCATAAACTTTAGAAAAGAGGACTAGTTCCTAACAAAATGAAACCAGTACTGAAGACTTAGAAGAAGTGTTGAGATTTTCCAGCTCTCTTCCACTGGTTAGCCGTCGTATTTCAGACAAGGAAGTCAAATTCAAAAATGCCACTGGGCCCTATAGTTAAAAAGTTGTCTTTAAACTCTTCTTCCTCTTCTCTTTTTATTTGATGTAGTTCAGATTGATTTCAGGTTTTTCTTGTCTAAAATGTAATTAATTGATCTCTTTCACCTCCATTAGTAAAACAAAGCTGTCTCCCCAGGAGAGCTAAGACGTGAAGTCTGACACACTAAGGTCCTCTTTCCCCATCATTCTGAGACAAATTAGTGGAATGCAAGTGGTAGAAACTGACCCGGGGCCTAAAAGGCAGAGCAGGAAGCCCCTAGAGCTTTGGGGTCCAAGCCTGGCATCCTCCCACTGTGGCCCTGTCAGAGGTTTCATAAACCTGGGACATTTAGAAGCTGTTAAGACCCTACCCACTACTAAGCAATCTCCTCTCCTATTTTCACAGCTGGTAACCTTGAAGATCAGAGACAGAAGTGGAAAAGGAATCTAGTTAGCTGTTTCTCGGTCTTGTGCTGTTTCCATTGTTCCACTGTACACTCAACAGAGGGAAGATATTTTTCCTCAACTGGTGAGTCCTCCATAGAAAAGATGTTTCTCTTTTAAAATTAACCGACATGTTTCAATGAACTTAAAAAATCAATTGTTTTCATTTAAAGCGTGGCACCATTTAAGATGAAAAACTAGAGAAGATCAAAATGTCCTTCTTTATTTGATTTCATTGGCAATGGGCAAGAAACAATAATGGTAATAAATTGTGTGGCAAAGCAAAAGGCAGGACTCAGCTCTTGGAAAGTGGCATGCAGAGAAACTGGAGGAAAAATTGGAGGAATGATGATTTCAGGTTGCCAACAATTGCATTCTTTCTTTTTCCTCCTTTGGCATGAAGGGAACATTTTTGAAATTGAAAGACCGAAATGTAAATGTCAGGAACAATGATATGAGCGTTTTGGAGGAAAGAAAGCACTACCAGTATTATTGAGTGTCTCTTGTTCACTCTTGTGCAAGGTAATTTTTCTGTGATTCATTTGCTGTCACCAGAGCCCTTAGGGGTAGCGAAGGCTAAATTTGCTTAGGCAGAGGGTGTGAGCCTCTGTGGTGATGGGCCTGCTAGTGTTCCATTGTGATCAAAGTGTGAATCTTGCTGTTCATTTGGAAAGGAAAATAGTCACCAGGTAAGCTAAGCTCTCCCTTGTGTCTGGGAACACTTCCAAGAAATGTGTGTGGTGAAAACCATCAGGATACCCTGGGCTGTGGTGAAACCTGAGGGAAATGGTTGGAGAATTCTGGCTAAGGCTGCTAGTTGGGATTCTAGTTCTGTGATCTCCATGCTGAGAACCAGTCCCTATCTACCCAAGCATGGGCATTGCATTGTGTAAATAATATACTTTCCCATGGTTGTGGTATAGTTTTTCAAAACAGAACAGGGGCTGTTGTGATTGATAAAATCCAGCTTCACCTAAAAGTGTGACTGAACTTGTCGTTGAATTTTGTTGCTCTGTCTTAATCAATGTACAACTGACCTTCTCTGCGCCTGCAGGTCTGCATAAGATGAAAGGTGGATCTCTTGGATATTGACTCTCCAACATTGTAGTTTGTTAAAAATCTCAAACAGAGTCCCAAATATTTTCCCCCAGTTTAAGCATCAAATGGAAAGCCTTGTCAACTGCTTCACCTCCTGAGTTTTCTCAGTGTTTAAAATTGAATTGTGACAAATATGCAGCCTTGCACTTGGACTTGAAAAATTCAGATAAATAATGACAGAAGAGGAGAAATTGCTTCAACAGAAGTAAGCCGAAATAGGCTCAGAAATTCTTGTTGTCTGTAAACTAGTTGTAAACCAGCAGTGGCCTTCACCTTCTAATATGTCGATGTAGCCATAAACTGTGTTAAATGGCATCTGGAACAAGGTGGATGGGCGATCCTGCAAACCTACAACCCCTGGAAACTGGCAAGTCCAGTGAGCCCTATTTGCTACATTTTCATAGAGGACTGTGTTAACTGACATGAATGAACCAGGGATCTCTTAGAACTGAATTAGGGACACTTTCATCCAACTACTATGGGAGGCACACAGTGGGGAAGAAGTGGCTCCTCAGAGAATTATCCAGGTACTGTTAGGAAGAGGAGACTAGAAGCTATGTGAGGAACTGCAGACCTTTTGTGTACCTGCTTATCCTAGGAGCTCCCTTAGGGTGTCTTTGCCTTTAGTCTTTGCCTCACCTTGTGAAAGGGATATTAGCCAGCTACCCTCTGCCCAAGGATGATGAGAGGGCCAGACGTGATGTCTCACCAAGAACTATTACAAGTGTGAGTCCGTGGAGAAGGTGGGATACTGGATCCTTCAAGAATGTAAAACTAAATCCAAAGAGAGGCAGTGTTTCCTGTGTATCCCCATAGTCTAGTGGGGCATATGGCACAGTAACAGACACAGTGTGCATTTCCATAGGTAGTTCACATGTGAAGGTAGTGAATGTTTCTTTCCCTAATGGTGTTCTGTCGATGTCGGCTGAGTCTTTGCTGAGCAGTTGCAGTAATCCTAGTACATACAGATCAGGCTAGACTACACAGAGTTTTTTGAGAATTAAACAAATGGTTGCACAGAAAGAAGCTTTTGGGACCAGTATGGCTGAAGAGCGTTGTGGGTGTATTAAAAGGCAGACTGTGTCAGAATAGTATCACAGAAGACCTACCAAAAATTAGATATGCAACCCTAGAAAACTGCCTTTCCACCCTCATTTTTCTAATCTCTGAATTAGATAGAGGCAATGCCATCACCTTGCTTACCTGTCATGTTTATTTAGTAAAAGTGTGTTGCTAGATGCTAACCTGTTTACTAAGCTATAAAGTGTGGTTCATACGTGATAGATTATTTCAGTTGGTTTCTTCCTTAGAGATTCGTGTTGAATATAAAGAAAAATAAAACAATAGGACAAGTGCCCAGCACTATGCCTGGTGCATAGTACATAGTCAGTGGATACCCTTCTTCTAAGCCAGCCCTGTCGTGGATGGGCACACACTTGATATCTAGGACTGAAGCCTTGCTTAACAATGATAATTAAAGTTGATATAAAAATGTATATTATTATGACTTTCCATATCCTTTTTTGCCTGATGCAGTGGGAGGTTGAAGGAGGCAAATCTGAAGACCTAGGCAGGTTGATGGTGGAAAGACTCCATAGAAACTACAGTCTGTTTGATACTTGCTTTGTTTGGTTAATCACACCTTCTGCTCCAGGAATGACCAGCCCAGTGGGAATCAGGAAAGAAATTATTTCCCTTTTTAAATACCAGTGTACAATAGTTGACTGTAGCCAAAGACTTTCAGTTTTAATATTTCCTCTGGTCCTGAGAAGTATTAGGTATTAGTCTCTGCCGGAAGCAAAGCATTGGTTACTTCCTCCAGTGGTGAATATCTTGGCTTTGTACAGTTACTTTGTCAGGTGGTTTCTGGGTATTTGTGACCAACTGCCTAGCTAGATTGTTGTTATTTGCTTCAACAATCACAAGAGGACTTGTTAGGTCTAAGAGGAGACCCTTCAGCTTCCTCAAAGTCTGTGGGTCTTTATGTAATTAAGGGACATATTATAGGATGTATGTTTGCTGTCCATGACAGTAAACAGTAGATCTAGCTCTCTTTTATATTTTTTCTTCTGACTCCAAATTCTTTTATTTCTTGGCTTCTGGCCTAGTGGAGATACCTTTAATCTAGCTTAGGGGTGGTCCCAGGAGATCAGCCAATTCTTAAATTCTCCCTCAACATGTTACTGGATGGGAGAACTGTCTGAGGCCTGAATGGCTGAATGGGTAGAGTTCTTTGTAGACTGCTGCCGACTCTCTACTTTTGGTTCACAGCATGTTCTTGTTTTCTGTCCTTGTCCCAGTGTTTAGAGGAAGTGAATTGCAGGATCCCCTCCCTCCCTCCCTGCCCCGTCTCCCTCCCTCTCTCCTTCCCTCTCTCCTTTCTCCCTTCTCTTCCTTCCCCTCCCCTTCCCTCCCTTTGTTGCAAGTGTTCTAACACTGAGCTACATCTCTAGCCCAGCTGCAGAACCTTTAAGGCACTGTAGTGAAGGAGGCACAATCCTGGATCTTGGGAAGTCCATAGTTGGGGAGAAAACCACACACATCAGGAAGATAATGTTTACAACATATTTATTAATCACCAGATATATTTCAGACTTCATGCTAGGTACTTGGGAGATTAAGGTAATAGGCCAAAAACTTAGATGACTGAGGGGCTACACATACAACCCAACTGGGGAAGAGCAGGAAGAATTGGGAACACTTGGGAAGGCTCCCAGGCAGAGCAGATCTGATCTCAGCATACCTTTGTAAACCAATTTTAATTGAAAAATTGGAGTGTGTGGGGGCCTCTAGTTAAAAAAATCTTCGTAGAAACCTTGATATAGACTAGCGCAGAGTGCGAAAGTGTCATGACTTCAGAGAAAAAACACAAGTTTTCAATTAATGCTGTGCTTCCCCACCTCTGAATTTTTGCTGTCCTTGGCATCAGGGATGCTTTGGTGGAAAATGTCTAGAGTTTCTTGCTGTAGCCCTTTGTGGGACGGATGAGATCCCAAGAGCTGCGGAGGGCACACTCTCTGGGGCCACGGAGCCAGTGAGTGGCCATAGGAGGACTCCCCAAATTCCTCAGTGTTTCCCTTTCTGCCTCATCACATTGCCTGTGCTTCTTCATGATTCCACAGCACCCTTAGGTGTGTTTTCAGTTCTTACCTCAAACCCTCTTCTGTCCCAGAGACACATTAGGGAAAAATAAGCCACCGTCCGGTCTGCCACCTTGAGTCTTGATGATGTCCCTTGTGTTATATTTCAGGGATCTGCTCCTCCTGTTGGGTCAGGCTGGGTCCCTGGGAGAGGTCTAAATCAGTATTACTTGGCTCAGGCTTGTGTCTGTGCAGCTATGAGTACTGTTGGTATTAGGAACAGAGAGCGGGCGTACAGAATTGCTGAGAGGCCCAGAGGATCAGACCCAAAAGCTTGACTAACACCTTCTGCCTGGCAGCAAGTTTCTTTTTCAGGGCATCCATCTCTTCCCTCCCTTTTCTTCCCCGCTTCTTATAAAGCCAGGCCTGACAGTTCATTTTGTAGAAGGTGACCGGTTCTTTAGGAGTCCACCATAATATCCTTAAAAAATGAATGGAACTAGGAGACTAAAAATCATGGTCGAGCTATTGGCAGCCCTATAGCCCGAAGGAAGAGAGCACAGCTTTTGTCATTAAGAAAATGTCAGTGGTCAAAAAGTTAAGACTTCTCCCACTCTATGGAACCTTTCTACTCACAGTATTTTTTATACTTTTAGTGTATTTAAGGTATTCATTATAATTTTTTTATTTTTTTATTGAAACTATGTAGTAAGAAATAGAATTCTAGTTTGAGGTAGGCAAAGCAGATGTTGATAAAGCAGATTTTAGGGTAGGAAACCTGCATATTACCTGCATAATTTTTTTTTTTTTTTTTTGGTACTGGGGATCGAACTCGGGTCCTTGCGCTTGCGCAGCAGGCGGCAAAACCACATCCTTCATAATCTTACTTAAGTCACTTAATCAGTTTTTTTTTTCCACTTAAAATCAATTTTTTTCATTAAGTTTATTGGTGCATTTTAGGTATACAATACAGTTACATTCATCTTTGGGAACTTGTACCTTTATGTAATATATCTTGGTTCTTATTTTTTCCCCATTCCCCTCCCCTCCAGTTTTTAAACCTGCTTTGGTATCTTAAAAACTTGGAGCAAGAAGTGCCTACCTTGCCAGGTGTGGTGGCACAAGCCTGTAATCCCAGCACTCTGGGAGGCTGACGCAGGAAGATTCCAAGTTTGAGCCTAGCCCAAGCAACTTAGTGATTTAGTGAGGCTGTGTCTCAAAATTACAAAAAAAATTTAAAAAAGACTAAGGATATAACTCAATGTAAAGGCCCGAAGTTCAATACCCAGTACCACAAAAAAAAACAACAAAGAAAGAAAGAAAAGAAAAAAGAGAAGAAAAAAAGGAAGGAAGGAAAGGAAGAAGGAGGGAAGAGAAAAAAGATGCCTGTCTCATGATGCTCATGGAGAAGCAGCATAATTGCATGAAGTGCTCACTGAAGGTGGTACTTTACAACCATGTGTCTCGCCTTCTTGGTAGTCTCGAACTCTGCCGGAAACCACCTTTAGTTCTTTTCATTGTCAAGCTGTTGGTTCAGTAGCTTCCCTTTGCCCTGCTGCTGGCCTGGGAAGAGACCTGGAACATTTGCATATCGGTCACCCCAGCTCGCATGGCATGTTTCCCCGAATAACTAAAAGTTTTAACATTGGTAATTCAGCTCAGTGGCTCCCAAGAGATAAATTCACACATCAGAAGATGCTCATGTTCTGATATTTGGAAATACAATAGCTCTAAGAAAAAAGTAATCATAAAGTCTGTTTCACGAGGGAGGTCTTTTGGGCATTGAGACTGAAGTGTTGGTTTTCACTGTGAGGCCCTGTAGTCCAAGGGGTGCTCCCACCCAGCCATGTCTGGTCTGTAGATGGCACTGTCTCTGGATCTGGCCAGCCCTGACCCTCCTTGGTTCCTCCTTGGACTTCTTTAGGATGACATCATGTTACCCTGCTTCAATGGCATCTGGCTGGAGTTATATCAGTTATTAAAAATGATCTAATATTTTGCTTTTAAATCTGGGGCCTTGGCTTGTTCTATGATTAAGCTAGTGATTTATTTATAATAAGGTATGAGATGGCTGCAGCCACTCTATGATGTAATCTAAGAATGACATGAAAACAAAATAGGCTTTTACATAATGAAAATGTGCCTGTAATACGGTCTGTAGTAGGGCTTTTTTTTTCTCATTGAAAATGGAGACATATTCTGTACTTTTCTGTCCATTCCTTTCTTATCTTCTTTTTCCATTTCAGGTGCTTTAATTTAATTAAAAATAGTCTTTAGAATTCCACAAAGGCTCTGGTTTATTCTCGCAATCTTGTCTTCTTTCTACTCCTTTCCCTACTGCCACCGCCCATGGCCTCTGTGCCGTCTGTTGCTGTGCTTCTCCTCAGCACTCCTTTGCCTGTACTGTTTCTTCTCCTGGGAATGGATCCTGGTCCTCGGTTTCTTTTGCACACTGGCTCACACAGAAAGCTTCCTTCTGCAGGCCAGATGGAAGCACCTCTTCCTCTCAGCTTCCGCTCCTGGCTAGTGACCGCTGATTGGTTCTTCTTATACTTTAATATGACAATGAGACCTCATCCTGCTCACTCACCCAGGGAATATTCACGGAATACTAGAGGAGGAAAAGTGACTTGGAGAATAGGCGAAGGAGCCTTTGTAATTCCAGGTTTGCTCCTTATGCTGAGGCGTGGGCCGGTCAGGGCCTGGCCTTGCATTGCAGTTTTCCTCCTCTGAGGAATGAGTGGTTTGGATTTCATTTTGCATCATAAATGGTGTGTGGTGGTGGCTCCGTGTTGAGAAGGATTCTGAGGCCGTATCCTGATTGAGCCATGATTACTTAGCAGGATCTGCCGTGGTTGCAGGCAGAGAGGCAAGTGTGAAGCCACAGGACAAGTCTCTTGACTGTTCTTAGACTAGACAGTTCAAGGTTCTCTTTTTGTTTTACCTCCTGGGAAGCTTTGATTTACTGACTTTTAAGTGTCTTGCCCAGGGACACACAGCAAGTTAGCATCTAAAACTCAATTCTCAGACACAGAGGTGGTAAAAGATTCATATTCTGATCTCACATTTAACCATGTAGACTCCAAGTAGGAATTGAGAAGGAGCTGGGATAAGAAGGGCTGGATGGGCCATGAGTTATTGGAAGGCCCCAAATTCTGTATGTATTTGCGGTGAGGTGAGGTGGGGTGGGTCAGGGATGGAAATATACGCCCTATTCTAATTTATATCCAAGATGGCAGTTGAAGGCCAACGTCAGAAAGGTAAGTGACCATACCAAGGCCTTATTTGGATAACTTGACTGCACGAATCATGAAATCCTTAGATCCTCCGTACCCTTCCTACCAAGCCAAGACCAAATGCATGGCTCCTAGTGGAGTCAGATTGTCTGAGTACTAGATCAGCTCAAAGCCAGACCATGGAACCGTGGGAGATGGATAGAGAAGAAAAGGGAAGAAGGTGGTTCAGGACAGTTTGAGCCACTGGAGATGAAAGCCCTGGAGGGATGGAGAAGGAACTGGAAAGGATCAGTGTGGGGAAGAGCGGAAGGGGATGTGAGAGGAAGGAGCAGAGATGGTCGTTTGTTCCCGTTGGACTCTGATGTGGAAGGAACAAAGCTCAGTCTGTTTCCTCAGAATGAGTTCGGAAGGAGTGGGTAAAAGGAACAGAATGATATCAGGAGAAACAGTTTTTACTATTAGCAGACCAGAGATGGGATGTGCTTTTCAGAGACCAATTTCTCCGTCACAGCAGGGATTTAGGTAGGGGTTGAGACTAATGTCTTTTAGAGGGAATAAGAAGTTGGACTCTTCTTAGGCCCAACCTTAGAACTTTTTTTTAGGGTTCTAAGAGTCTGGAATTTTCTGGAGACAAATTTTATGTGCATTTAAATGATTTCCCTTTTAAAGTGACGGCATTTATGGAGAAAAGTGACTCTTCCTACATGGCCTTGGCACATAGCAGTGGTAACTTATCTCGGGCAATCTTTTGTCACACTTTGAATTATTGACGGATGAAGGAAAGGAGGCTAAGGATGCTCTAGTACTTTTCTGTGCTCTGCATGGTTGTTGGTTTGTTTGTTTGTTTGTTTTGTTTTTGTTTTTCCAGTACTGGGAATCGAACTCAGGACCTCGTTCTTGCAAGCCAGGAACAGTGCCACTGAGCTAAATCCCCAGCTACTGTGTATGTTTTTGAGGATGATTTCTTTGCTTCTTTTTGAGACAGTTGTGGAGAAGACTGTTCTTTAAGACTTAGGCAAAGGCTCCCACCATTTTGTCAGTGATTTGTTTTTTCTGTCCTGTATATTTCTTTTTTATGCATCCAGTGGAACATTCATGCTGATTTGCTCTAACATGTAAACAGATTCACAGTCTTCCTTCTCCCTGGGCATAGAGACTTGTTGAGGACATCAGTCCTGTCTTACTCTGTAACCAATCCGATGGTGCTTGGTATAGTGGTTTGCGGATAATAATAATGGGACTCATTTTAAAAGCTACTGAGTACTACATGCAAGGTACTTGCCAGATGAAGTAACTCTAAGCAAAAGCAGACAAAATAATGAAGAAATATATAATAGGAGGCTGTGGCCTTTATGGAGAACAGCAGGCTAGAGGCACAAAGGAAGAAGACGTAGATGCAGTTGAGTCCATGGGAGCAAAGTGAGGCAGGAAGCTAGAGGTACGGAGTAGGGATGGAAGAATGAATGTTTCAGGCAGAGGGAAATCTGTTGCAAAGGCCCAGAGCTTGAAGGAGGCCCTGGGTTTTTTAGAAGGTGAGGAGGCCAGTGTAGCTGAAGTGAACACTGTAGGAAAGATAACGTGTGCTGATAGAAATGGCTGCAGCAACAAATATTTGTTAAGCACCCATTAAGGATGCTCAAGGGAAAATGATTTAAAAAATCCACAGAAATCTAACAAAAAATGCCAACACGCATTTCTGTTTTTCAGCTTGAAGATACAAGGAGGGGTGAATCGGAAGCTGGGAGTGTAACTCTAGACAGCTCAGAACGAGTCCAGTGGCTGAGAGTTCTGGGTTCCCTCCCACCTGTAGCCCTCTGCGGTGAGAGACTTGGTGTTTCGGATTTTTTACTCCTTCGGAGCGCGCACCTGCAGGGACACTCGGCCTGTGCAGATGGGCAATTGCATGCCTAATCACCCATCCAGGCACCCACTTATTTGTTTTCCACATGCAAATATGGGTTTTTTGAAGATGAATTTAATATATTTGTTGCTTCCTCATTTTATTTAAAACAAAACAAACGGCCAACCATGTCAGTTGAGGGTAGCAAATAGAAACATGGGTATTACGGTCTTTGCTGTCTGTATCGATTACACGGCTGAAAGGGATCCCAGGCAAATGAGTCTTTTCTGGGCTTAATTTTACTTTTGCTTCATATCACCTTTTCTGGCTATCATTATTAGTTTAAAAAAAAGGCTTAAAGAGAGATATGGTATTACTTTCCCTAAATAATTTTCTCAATATTTAAGGTTCTGTATGTGTACTGCGTGGTTTACACTTTTCACCTTTTTAGTTTCTGAACTTGGGACTGTTTGTCAGAAATGAGCATTATGGAATGTCCTAAGGCCAGTGGCAGGTGAGGCCGCGACTTCCTTCGCCTGGAAATAAACAAACAAACACAAATTAGAAGTATTTGACCCTGTTGATGGCTCTATTGTTATCGATTGCGCAACGTCATGCAAAAAGTCACTTTCATTTATCTGGGAGGTAGTTAAAGACCAATATCATCTAGAGGGCTTGGGTGGGTGTATGCTTTTATTCCTCATAGATTTCTGAGCGCTAGAGTAGGTATCAAAATTGGCAGATATTTTGAAATCTATTTTATCCTAATCACCTCATCTTACAGTTAGGGACACTGAGGCACGGGGCAGCAAGCTGAGGTCTCAGAAAGTAAGCAGTAAAGATGGGACTTGAGCATGGGGCACTCTGCTTCTCCTGCCTTTTAGCCAATAGAGGTGGCAGTTGGTGGCTTCTGTTGACTGGGGTCATGAAGAGACTGCTGGATGCTACAGAAGATCTCGTCTCCAGGTGGGCTTTGTGTGTAAGTGTTGTCTACGTGTTGAATTTAAAAATCTGTTTGGTGTCAAATTTTAAGAAAGATGTGGTAAGAGAAGCATGAGTAGGAATTACTTGCAAGTTGTCTAACAAGGTTGTTGACCTTGGGTGAGGACCTGGCGGGTGGGGAGAGAGAGAGAGAGTGTGTGTGTGTGTGTGTGTGTGCGTGTGTGCGTGTGTGTGCATGCATAAGGTAAGATGGAGGCAGACCGAGAGAGAACTCAGCCGACTTGGTTGTAGGAACTTCATTTTGGGCGCAGATATCTGAGCCAGAATGCAGTCTAAAGCTTACTGGATTTGATTGCTGTATAGGATTTTGTAGAAAAGAAAACTGCTGCCCACCTTGATTGAAAGCCTTGCCGCAGGTCACCTAACTTTAATTGAGTAGTTAGCATATTAGACTATCAATATCCTCTTACAGAAACATTTGCTTGGGAAAGGTAGCAAATCGTATTTATTAGTTAGCCAGTAGGGCTGCTCAGGTAAGATGACGGCACTGCCTCCCTTGGGAGCCTTTCCATCACACACAGTTTGGCAGAAGCCACAGGGTTAGGGCTGCGAGAGCTCCACGCGCAGGCAGTCTCTGGCCTTGCAGGTGCAGCCAGGCACGTAATCAGAGATAGGCACCTAGCCAGGAGCTGTGCTGAAGAGCATCCTCCTTCTGAAAGAGTTAAGTCTGGAGACTGAGGCCAGTTAAGTAACGTTCAGTCAGTTTTTCCCCTGTTTCTAAATGTAGGAGCCTTTTTTTTTGGTACCGGGAATCGAACTCGGGTCCTTGCGCTTGCGCAGCAGACGGAGAAACCACTGAGCTAAATTCCCAGCCCGCTTTTACCTTTTTAAGTGTAAACTGTTAGAGTGTTGGTTTATGAGGCATGGTTGCAAAGTCCAAAGTGATAGTTTTAGAAATAGCACAACAGCAAAAATGTCCATATGTGTGAAAAGGACAAAGATGTACCCGGAAAGTACTCCGAGAGGGTCACTGTTCTGCATGTAATTCCTGAAGGAACTGTGAAGGGTCATGGAAAGCCCAATGCCCCAGGTGGTGGGTGCAGAAAGGACTCCTGATGGAGCATGAAGTCAGCCTGCTGCACCTGTTATCTGTGCAGGCCTCTCTGCAGCTGTCTGCCTTGAAGTACGAACTGTGCATTCTTCCAGCTGATACTGCGTGCAGTGAACTAAATGCTCCTCCACAGGGTGCTGGACAGTCTCAGACGCCGATGGCAGCCTCCTATGTCCATGGCAGTCACACTGTCTGAGCGATTTAAGCTTCCTTCTAATTATTTCTCATGTTTTTCTCTTCTACCTGACTGTCCCTACCTACCTCCTCTTTGGGAAAAAAATTCCTAGAAGTGTTTGCAGTTTCCTTTATGTTGATTTGTTTATATTTTGAAATGGATTTGTTACGTGCTTGAATCTTTAACTGATCCTCTTTGTGAGATCATATTATAACTTCTTTGAGTTATTTTCTTTTACGTAAAAGAAAGTGATTTTTCGGTTTAAGAAGGTATATAGCCCAGTGGTACAGTGTGCTTACCATGCCCTGGGCTCAGTCCTTGGCACCAAAAAACAACAATAATAAAACAAAAACAGCAAAGCTAGCAGTCTCCCCCCAAAGAAAACCCCTGATCTTTCTTTCCTTGACAATATTTTTAGAGGTACTGTTAGAAGTACTGTAGTAAAAGCAGTTCAGATGACATAATCTCAGATTTACCTTGCTTTTCTAGAAACCATTAATTTTCCCTATAACTTCAAGGATTAGCAGTAGAGTATAGGACATTCTGAAAATAAATAATTAAAAAAAACATGCCAAGAGAGCTGCTGATTTCTAGCTAGGTACATGGAAAAGAAGGTCTTTTTTCCAGTGACCTCTCTGCTTGTTGGAAAACTTTGGCTGGTAGATTTCACGATCCTGACGCTGCGAGTCCTCTTGAGTTACAGTAAATGGTGAGGGGAATTCGCAGGCTAGAGGATGCACCCTTGTTGGGCTAAGAGGTTTTGCAGAGATATTCCTGTCCTTTGGCATGTAGACAGATATTGTTTTCCAGTAGGAAAGTGTTTGAGGAATAGCTTCACCAGATCCATGGAGCACATAAAGGATGCAAAGTGCTTGGAGTGTCCTCCTTCCTGTGGGTTGCCTTTTAGTAGGACCAGTGGCTAATCTTGGCCGTTCCAATTTGATTAGTCCAACAAATTTATAGGAAGGGGCCTACTTTTTTTCCTCTGCCCTCCTCACCTGTTTTGGTGGTATCTCTATTTGGTACTCCTTGGATTCCCGTTTATGTGATATAAAAATAAAATAAAGTGCCAAACCAAAAAGGAATACACTAAATAGGAGAGCAGGAGAGTGGAGATCTGACTACAGCTATAGCCACCTGTGTAACTAAGCATTCACAAGCACTGTCCTTCATTCAACAGATATTTAAATGAGCACTTTTTACACTCCAGCTACCAGAAATACAAAAGTGTGTAAGTCACGGTTGTTACCCTCACTGCTCACAGTCAGGAGTAGACAGCCAAACGCACAAATAGAACATGAAGTCACTTCTCCTTTCTGAGTCTCCCTTTTACATACTTAGGAGCCAGAATTGGCCTAAACGATTTCCAGAGTCCCTTCTGATGCTAACATGCAATCATTCATACAAACTTCATTAAATATCCCATAATTATTTATCACACTGAAAATTGGCAAACATTTTCACTTCCTCCCTAGTTTATAGAGAATAATGTTGAAGATGAATGAGGCAATGTCTACAAAATGCTTTAATAAGCAAGTTGAAGAAAGATATTATATAAGTTTGAGGCATTATTATTAATGGAAAAACGAAAACAAGGGTTGATGTTTTTAGAGAGAGAACAGATGGTTCCTTTGTTTAGAATTTGAGTATAAAAGAGGGAGAGAAAAAGAGATACTTGCCATATTGTTTAGGCCCTGAATGTGAGTGACTTTAAAATGCCAAAACAATCTGGTTAGGAAAGTCCCATGGATTCAAAATAGCTCCTACGCTGATCAAACTATAATTAATGTAACAAAAAAATGACGGTAAGAAAAATCCTAATAAGAAATGCCACAGTGACAGTTGACACAACCTAACAAAAACTCCCATTTTTGTATCAACTTAAGAAACTTAATTTTCCCTGTCTTTAGGAGTGATGGCAGCATTGTGGGACAAATCAGTGGGAAATGGTTTAAAACTGTGTTTCTTTCTAAGTCCCCTCCCCCAATTTCAGAGTTCTCTTGACTCATAAAGCAACGCTTTAGGATTCATAAGAAGCCGGCAGTCCTCTCTCTCCCACCCCTGCTTTGAGGTACTGCTGGGAACACAGAGTGAGGTGGGGCAAGTATAATTTGAGAGCAAACCTTTGGGGACTTGGGGTGGTATTGCAGGAGGCTAGGTCTAGGAAGGGCCCCTTCCAAGCTTATGTGAAGCATCGTGAAATGGTTTCTTTCTCTCTGTCTCTGTTAATTTCTTATGAGCCATGTCTGCAGTACATAAGTTAATGTCATTCCGGAATGATCCTTGCAGCCCTGAGGCCTGTCCCTCTTGAGTGTGCACGATAGGTAGACTGTAAGACCATGGCCACCAGGCTGGCAGCATTGAACCGGAAGAGGTAGAGACCCTTGGTTCTGGTGATGTCTGATTCAGCTGAGTGACCTCAGTCTCTCCTGGCCTCAGCTTCCCCTCTGCAATAAGAGGAGATTAACTCTAACGTTCATTCTGACACTAATGTGAGTTCAGGTTCACATCTCTTTATACTCAGATGTAGGGAGGCTGAGAATGGCTTTGGATTTGGGAATCTCTGAAAGCAAACTTGCCTTCTCAAATAACAATGAAAGGAGGTGGGAACTTGTTCCTGGCTGGACCTCTGTTGAATGGGTTCTAGGCAGTAGGTCAAGAGTGAAGGTGGTAAACTCACTCCTAGGCTGGAAAGAGGCAATGCGGCCTTGGGAAAGGCTGCAGTTGGTTCTTCTGGGTGAAATGAGTTCC